TAATATCTCAATAACCGTGCTCTCAAGTTGATATGCAGGACAGGGAATGGAATTGTTGGAGGCGTACACACTTAAAATGTTTTCTCGTGTTCTCTGTGGTAATGGCAAAACAAGACCTAATTGAGCCGTGCTCATAATTCTGTCTTTCCAACCATGCTTTCTGGGGATTTATGGGAAAGCTTACTCTTCTGACTTAAGTGATATAATGGTTTTTAATTTAATTCTCACTTGTAATTACTGTGCATTGTTCAGGCTGAACAGTAATGACTTCTAATTTATATGAATGCAATGAGTTGATTAAATTGCAGTGATGAGATAAGTCATAAGGCTATTTATTTTGAAGGATGTGGAGTCCTACATCCATCGCTCTGGACGCACAGGACGAGCTGGCCGGACTGGGATCTGTATCTGTTTTTATCAACGGAAGGAAGAAAATCAGTTAAGATACGTGGAACAAAAAGCGGTAAACCACAGTTGTCTTCTGTTCATGAGCACCCAAATGTAACGTGTTAGGGCAGCATGTAAAATCCTCATCTCACGTTTTGTTCGTGTAGCTCAATGACAGAGTACACCATCTAAAGCATCCCGTTGAGGTTCAGTTACCTTGCAGAGTTTGGGTATGTTGTAGACTGCTGTGAAGCGGGCACTGCACTGCAGATTCTCATGCCCACGCTTTTTCAGCACGTGCCATAAGACCGTACCCATGTAAATGAGAAGGGGAGGCTGGGGGGAAAGCCAGCAGGTTTTCCATTTAGTGTTTGCCCTGGTTTATGTGATCAATGATTTTCAGATGTGCAGCTTTCTTGGTAACTGTTACTTCCCAGTACTATTCCATACAATAGTTTTCTCACTAAAGCATTCAGTTAAGGTGATGGTTTAGTCACAGACGTGTAAAACTTAGGTTTGCCTTTAGAAAGGCAACATAAGTCATACTTTTAGTCTGATTTACTTGGATTTATAGTTCTGTTTAGAATTTGTAGGCCTTCATTTTTGCTGGAAAATATCAGAATAGTCTATTCGCTTCCAGTTAAGACCAGTAGATCCCTTAAACTGACCTGGTACATAAATGGTTTTTAAGTTATTTTCCTGTAATTATAACCTTGTAATTTTTGCTAACAAAGTAGGGATTTGAAAACTTAAAAGCACAAGAAAAAATTAGATTTAAATGGTTGTTTCATTGGAGTCCAACGCTGTTTTCTTTAAAAACTGAATTATTTATTGTTTGCAACATTCATCTGTATTTTGCTTTATGAATTTCAGGGCATTTCATTCAAGCGTGTTGGTGTTCCTACTGCAACAGATATAATAAAGGCTTCCAGCAAGGATGCTATCAGGTGACTCAAGCTTTATTGTATCTTCTTATCTTTTTAGTTCAGAAGGGCTGTTTTAGACTGTTCATTGCCATTTCGAAGCTCATCACTATTAAAGTCTTGGACTGCTATTTTTATTTATGCTCCAAAGCTAAGTAGATACCTCTGTGTGATTTTTTTTTTTCTTTTGTTCTCCTTGACTAACAATTTTGTTTGGTTTTGTTTAGATGTCTGGATTCTGTTCCGCAAAGCGCTATTGATTATTTCAAAGAATCTGCTCAGTTGCTAATAAAAGAAAAGGGACCAGTTAATGCTCTGGCTGCAGCTCTAGCACATATTTCAGGTGCTACTTCCATTGAACAGCGCTCCCTGCTGAACTCGGATGCTGTAAGTGTATATAGCTTAATGTTTGTCCTGAAGAAAAAAATGAAACCACCACAAAAATACCTGTATTTTGTAAAAATAGTCTCCTCATTCTCCTTATGGGAACTGAGAATATAGGGACTATAAATATGCATGTTTGCCTTTAACGGGAGCCACTTGAAAATGTAGTTTATAGACTAAATTAGCAGGTTTCTCATGTCTGATAGATGAGCTAAAGCCTCTTCCTCTGGCTGAATGGAACATGCCCAATTTCTTACTCTTTAGGGATTTGTTACAATGATACTGCGCTGCTCTGAAGAAATAAACAACATGAGCTATGCTTGGCGGAAACTTCGAGAACAGCTTGGTGATGATGTTGATAGGAAGGTGAACAGAATGTGCTTCATCAAGGGAAGAATGGTAAGCTTTTTTTTTCACTTGTATTTCTGCTACTGTAAGAAAGTTAGAGCAGAGTGGATAGTTGGGCTTTTCTTCCCCCATTCCAGACTCTGATAAAGACAGGATCATCTGACAGAGGGATGGGCCTCAATCTATCTTATTAGTGGTCACCTCAGCAGCTTAGGGCTCTGCTCCCCTGATATGTTAAGGAGGTAGGATAGTTCAGTATAACTGTGCATGTCCAGAGGGGTAGCAGTAGAGGTAAAAGGTACAAACTTGCTATGTAATAGAAGCATAAAGATCCGTATGAAAGGAAGTTGACTGTGTGCATTTTGGAAGTACCAGAAGGGGGGGAGAGATGTAAAAATGGCAGGTGTTGGCGGTATCTAGTTCAGCAAACCATCAAAATCCTAGCTCGTCTATATGCCAGTACTGAGGATACTCACGTGATAAACTAGAAAGCTTGAAACAAAGAGCAACCTACACTAAAGCAACAGTTCTAAGATTATTTAAAAATAAAAATAAAAATTTTTAGATGCTGTATGTATTCTCTTTTTACATCCCATCTTTTTGTAAAAGTTAACCCGTATGTCTTGACTTACGAATTTCATATATAGGTTCATAAGGTTTCCTGACTTAATTTTAAATTTGACCTTGAGGGGACAGTTCTTTATGCCAGTGAACTATTTTACTATCTGTCTGAGGTTTTTTGATATATTTTTGATGTATACTTAGTATTCAATGCTGTCTTAATTGGTGAGATTTCCTTTATTGCCATTGCTTTTCTGATCACAGCCTTGTTTTATACTTGATGTGTGGAACAGTCTATGGATGGCTTTCCCTACTTGAGTTGTAATTGCTGATAGTCAAATTGCTCCTTCAGACAAATAATTGCTTTTTAACATATGACTAATGGATTTTATTTAACCTATATGTAGTTTATTGTACCTGTTTAACTTCAGGAGATCTTTAGTCTGAACCTAACTGTTCAATTTACTGCATGTATACATTTCTTAGTATAGAAAAAAAAAATCCACTTTGAGAGAATTTTAAAAAATGAGTGACGTAGAAGCTAATAGACCACAGTTTGGAGTGGAGAGGGTGATAAGCTTGTTAAAGAATAAAATCCATGAAGTGCTGGATATGCAGAGAAAAAATATTGTATATCTGAGGAAAAAACATTAAGGAAGTACAAGTGTTGGTGATTTGTGAAACACTGGTGTAACTCTTTCAACGTTCAAAGATTTTGAAGCATCCTAAGTCAACATAAAAATAACTTGGAAATGTAAAACTTTGGTTTAGTACCTAGGTCTGGGTTCTGTTATACTCCTTTTTAGCTGCAATCAATTCAAAGGCTCAATTTGTATCCACTGAAATTATTTTCTCTTTATAGGGTGTTTGCTTTGATATTCCTGTGGCAGACCAAAAGGAAATAGAGGTACGTACTTCACTGGAGTTTCTGCTAACAGCAGACTGTAGATGATGCTGACTGTACTGGGTTAGGCTGAAAATGTTATCTAGCTTGTATCCTGCCTTTTTTAGTGGCCAAAAGGGCTGGCCATAAAGGAACAGAACAAATAGACAGTGGCCTTTTCCTAAGCTATTCCTGTCCGCAAAAATGTGTAGCTTGAAACATTTCTAGTGAAACAAATGGTGATGTGAACAATCTACCCCTTCTTATTGCTCCTGAATTGCTCTCTGTAGGTAATGTGTTTCACTTAAAGATCCTTTTTTTTCCCATTCTGCCCCCTGCTGCTTTTCCCGCAGAATCTTCTCCCCAGAAAAGTGAATTTGAGATCAGGTTTTAGTCTGGCAGAGTTAGCATTCCCATGCCCAAAATTCCCTAGACTGTGGAGATCCCTCAGAGCATCTCCATACCATGCCCCAGCATTTGTTCCTAAACCAATTTTTAGTTCTGGATTAGATGGGGGGGATCGTGGATGGGAGGGTGGGAACTGTTGGATCAGTAATAATTCTAGTGGTATTCCTAATAAGTGGGAGGTGGAGAAAGAGTTTACTGGTAAGGGCTGCTCTATAAATCTCTAATGTGGGTTTTGATTCTATTTTATAGTATCTGAGGCACAGTCAGATAGCTGTAGCTTTTATGCTTAAAGTTTTGAAACTAGTACTGACAAAGAAACCTGAATACCCTGTATTTGCTAACAGATTTTTCCTTGTTTTTTCAATTGAGCAAATATAATAATTAGGAAATGCATTAGGAATTGAATGAGGAATTTTTTCTTTCTGGAATATAACTTGATACATGTGACTTTGTTGCACTAGGGAAAATGGGAAGACTCAAAACAGTGCCGTTTGTGTGTGGCGAATGAATTACCTGAGTTAGAAGAATCACAGCGAGGAGGAGGAGGAGGAAATGGCAGAAGCTTCTCCGGCTCCAGGAGTGGAGGGCGGCGGGGCGGCTCTGGAAGAAACAGATTCAGAGGCAGAGGCCAGAAGCGGAGTTACGACAGAGCCTTTGATCGTTAACTTCGACAGTCCCAAAGTGGGAAAACGGAACTGCAGCATTTTATAAGATGTTAAAATAGGCTGTTCCTGGGCGTTTGTACCACTTTGAGAAACATTCAGTTCTTTTCTTCAGTACTACTTTGGTCATAAACAAAATCATGTTCATTTTGGGGGAAAAAGAAGACAAAGCAGGTGTTGTTTCCTTTCTTTCGCATTTGCCATCCCAGCTGTGTGACACCTCAGCCCGTGTTCCGGAGCCTGGCTCACCGTATAATGTATAGATCTTACCCGCTGGCCAAACCTGTACATTTCCAGGAAAAAAAAAAAAAAGACGTAAAAAATAAAATGCTATTTTACGAAGTGCTGGTGTCTGTCGGTGTTAAGGCAGAAAGGGGAGCGGCGTGAGGCGCGCTGTGCTTGCTGAGGCGCTGCCGGGCGTCCCGGCGGGCGGTGCGGGCGGAAGGGGCGGGCAGCGCCGGGCTGTGGGGCCGCATGGGCGGCGTGTGGGGCCGCGCTGCCCGCCTCGGCTTCCCCGCAGCCTCCCGGGCGGCAGCTCCGAGCCGCGGCCGGCAGCGGGGGCTGTGCTGGGCGGCGGCGGCCCGGCCGGGCCCGCTGCTGCTGGTGGCGGCGGCGGCGGCGCTGCCCCGGGGCTGGGCGCCTCCCTTCCTGCGCGCCGGGGCGGGGCGCGGCTCCTGGTGCTGCCCCGCTGGAGCCCGATCCGCTGCCGAGCTGTGCGGGGAGCGCCCCGCAGCCATGCCCGCCGCCGGTCCTGCCGCCAGCCCCGGGGAGCCGCAGGCGCCTGCGGCTGCCGAGCCGCTCCGCAGAGGCCGTAGGAGGAAGGCGAAGGTGGGAGAGGGACGGAGGGAGGGAGCGGGGCTGCCCGCACGTGGCGCCCCTGGGCGGCCATTTTGTGCCCCCCGCGCTGAGGGGGCGCTGAGGGCTCATGGAGGGCTCTGAGGGGGCGCCTCGGGCGGCTGACGGCTGCTTTGTGTCCTCAGGGGGAGAGCGCGGAGAAGAAGCCGAAGCGCCGGGAGAAGCTGAAGCGCCGCGGCCAGGCTGAGGGCGACCAGGCGCAGCCTGAGGAGAGCGGGCTGGGCGATGGCGACCTGCAGCCGCCCCTGCACAAGAAGGCGAAGAAGCGGCTGAAAAGCAGCGATGGGGCTGAGGAGAGCGGCACCGTGGCGCTGGGCAAACCTTCCTCGGCTCTGAGGGATGGCGAGGCTGCCCAGAGCGTGGCCAACGACAAGGTGGATGGAGAGCACGACGGCGACTCCGAGGTAGCAACTGCCCGCAGAGCCCTTGTCTCACCTAGTTGGTGTCCTGGTGGTAACGAGTTGGCTTAATGACGTGCTGGGCGCCATGTGGAGACACTGTGCGAGGCCCGTAGGAGCATTTGGCTGCTGCCGTGGGTAGCATTAGGTGCTGCTCTCCTTAGACTCAGAGCAGCAGCTTTGGGGAGCCCCTAGCACGAGGCACCCGTCTGTGGTGGGTGAGTAAGGCGCAGCAGCACGTGGAGCGGCACGTGGCAGCTCTCTGCGTGTCCTGCCTTCCTCCTCGTGTCCTGCCTTCCTCCTCCTGGCAAATGCTAAACTGTCTGGAGTGTGCGGCAGCAGAGGAGGCTGGCTAGCAGGAAGCAGCTTGCATGTATTGGCTTGTCTTCCCATAGCAATTCATTCCGTGTCCGACAGCACGAGGGTTTCTTCCTGGTTGCACAAGCAGATCCCATCTGAGAAACATGCACTGCTTTGTGCTCTGATGGCACTTTCTCTCTGGAAGGCTCCGCGAAGAAGTATTTGGCAGGGTGTCTGGAAAGGACGGTTACTTAATTCCCTCCCCTTGAGATCTCCTTGCCCAGATTTGGGGCATCTGGAGCCCCTGGGCCCTGTACACACGTGTGAGTGGGCACTGCAGCTTGCCACCGTCTGTCTCGGTCCTTCTACGTGTAATTTTCTCTTTCATGTTTAAGATGGAAATGTTAGTCCAGGGTGCTGTTTGTACATGGGTATAATGATGTCATCTCTCAGATCTTTGAAGCAGAAAACTGAATAATGACTTTTAGCTAACTATCTAATGGCATGCAGAGTTAAGCTATTTGTGTAGTGTACCAAGGAGATTTGGTTTGCTTGGAGTTTTCTGATTAACATTGTAAATTCTGATACCAAATGTATTTTGCTCACAACAAGTTACCTGATTGTTATTTCAGTGGAGCCAGTTGAGAGTGATAGCAAGGAGTTTCTGTTTTGTGACATGCTGAGCATAACTGTATGATGTGATGGGTCACAGATACATGGAAGGAGTGTTTGTTCCCATTCTTTTGCCACGGGACTTTAAAATATGGTGCAGGTATATCTGAGTTAGGGATGAGGTGACATTATAGATGGTTTTAAACATGTTGCAGGTAACAAGCAGGAGGATTTGGTAGCACAGAGTTCGTGCTGATTTAAAAACACGATTTACTTGTATGAACTCCTCGTACCCTGTGACTGGTGCAGCCTGTGTCACCTTGCCTTCTAATTCAGGGTGGCTGGATTCGAGTTGCCTGCTTTACAGTGATGACATTTTTGTTTGTGAAGTACCTGCATTTCAAGGCCTTTCTTTTCTTTTAATTAGAAAGGAGGTAGCTGCTACAACTGTGCCAATAAAGCAAATAGACAGCTTTTCTTGTGTGGATATGTCGGTTATGCTATTTGATCCTACTTCAGGACTAATAAGTTTTCTTTTATCCTTTTAGGAGCTGACAGAGGAAGCAAGAGAAGGTGCTTTCTCCAATTTTCCGCTTTCCAAAAACACCATCAACCTTCTCAAAGGTTAGTTAACGTGGCAAAATAAATTTCTGTAAGTGTTTGTTGGGATTGTGCTCTGATATCCTTAAGAGCAGAGATTGAAACCTAAATCGTCCTGCATTTATTATGCAGTAAGGATACGCACCCCAGCAGTCACTGTAGGTTCAAAGAACCTGCTGTCAGTAGTCTGATAAAGTTCTTTTGGTTCAATTTCAAGTGTACTTATTTCAAGGTAGAGTTGTTCTTTGACAGCGTGGTTACTACTGCGTGTACGTTTTATAGACAGTGTTTTTTTTTCTTATTAGCATCATTTGATTTTCAGTGTGTCTTCAATGCTCTTATCTGTTCTCTGTAATATCACTTCTTAAATAAGCGTAGTGTGGTTTTGTATACAAGGGCCTTTCAGCTTCTGTGGAAAGATTGTCTCTGATTGTCCTCATACTTTGGGGCATTTTCATCTCTCCTTTAGATTAGCTTTCTTGTAAAAGTAAGAGCTGTAGAATTCTTACTTTTCTTTGGGAAGTTGTATAGTTCTTGTTCCCCAGACAAAATTATTGCTGTTGCCTTACATTTTCCTTAGAAGCGTCACTGGGGTGCATTGTTTCGCTTCCATTCTGCAAAATGTCTCTGAATTTTCAGAATGTTTTCTTAAAACAAACAGCTTAATCTCGTCCCCTGCCTTCAAAGCCAGGCTACAACAAAATCTTGGTCTGTATCAAAAAAAAATATTAATACATATATTTTTCCCTTGGTGTCTTGCACCAGTGTCGCAAAGAAGGCTGTATTTCATGTGACTGCTCACCTTTGCATTTGGGGGTGGAATACTTGTTCTAGAGTAAGAGTGAAAACCAACAGGCGTGTGTGTATTTCTTCTAACTTGGTACCTCCTGTGGCGTGCAGGATTTGGCAGGATGTGTCTTACATACTCAGACTAGTTCTGTGTGAGGGCTCCTAATTGTTAGTCCAGTTTGCAGCAGATTCAGCAGCACTTAACCAAATCTCTTTGGATTACCTTGCAGCTCGAGGTGTAACATACCTGTTCCCTGTGCAAGCGAAGACTTTTCAGCCCATATATGACGGCAAAGACCTAATTGCTCAAGCTCGGACGGGAACCGGGAAAACCTTTTCTTTTGCTATTCCGCTGATAGAAAAACTTCAGAGCGTCACACAAGATGAGAGAAGAGGACGTTCACCAAAAGTAACTTACCACTTAAGGGTTAACACCAAAACCTTTGAGTAGGGCAGATTTCAAAAGTGATTTTGTAAATGCTTTGTGGACTTGTTTTTCCTTTATTTGTGTTCCTAATACTGAACACTTTCCTCAGGCTAGGAGCTACAGTGTGACTGAGGTTTTGTAGCATCTCGGTGATAAAACGTTTCATATTTGAGGTTCCTTATGATGTCCAGACTCCTGTCCTCAGGAATTTGGTGTGTGGCTTTGGGGTTCAGTCCCCTGCCTCTGTAGCAGTTGTGTCAGCTGGACTCTTCAGAACTCAGTGAGGTTTTCTTACTGCAAGTTTGATGGTGATAATTTTATTTTTCCCCCATGTCTGGAGATGCAACTGAATGGATTCAAGGGCTACTTACGTTTTTACTTGAGCATGATATTGAACCTGTAACCAGGTATCTGTAATCAGATACCCTATTCCCACACAGATAAGATGTGTGCATTTATCTCGTGACTGAAAAGCTGTGACAGTCTACAGATCTGTTGCCTATTTCATACTTCTTTATTTTAAAGGTGATGGTGATGTAAGATTTGAAATACTATTGTCTGAAAAATTTCTAGGAATGAAATCATTTATCACTTTGTTCTTAAAAGGAAAGGTAATGGAGGAGGGCAGGTAGATGGAGAAGGAGGGTACATGGCTGGAGCATTTCATGCTGTGTATCATGTCAGATCTTACTACGCCAAATTGTTCAGTGACTGTTTTTGTCCTTTCACATTGAACTGTGCCTTCATTGCCTTCAGTAATGTTACTGAAGTGTCTGTTTTATCTGGTGTTAAGAAAAAAACATCACCGGTCTACATCTTAGTTATCTTGTAATGCTTTCCCTTGTTTCTTCTTGCTGGTGTTGAGGCTGTGATGCGCAGTTTCAGATGGCAGGAAATGTTACTGGGGTTAGGGAGCTGTGGCACCGCTGCGACAAGTGTAGCATAAAAATGGGATTACAAAATGGCAAGAATTGGAGAGCAACAGGCAAAAAATCAGAGCAGTTCTGCAGCGCGGCTTCCCCGTCCAACATGAAGTAAATCCTGTTCTCTTTGCATCCTCTCCTGAGGATGAGCTACATTTTTGTCTTTTCTTTCTTTCCAGGTGTTGGTTCTTGTCCCAACAAGGGAACTGGCCATTCAGGTAGCCAGAGACTTCAAGCATCTCACAAAAAAACTGTCAGTGGCTTGTTTTTATGGAGGAACTCCATATAAAGCACAGTGTAAGTAAACACTAAAACTCATGGATGGGAGTTGTCTTCCTCCAAATGTATTTCATGAGTAAAACTGGCTTTTTTCCCTGTCAGAGTTTCACTTCAGGCAGCTATGACATTGCATTCAAAGGAATTACACAGGCTGAGTTGAATTATTTCCAATAAATTGTCATTTAAAAAAAAAGGAAAGATTATAGGACTGCAAGTGTCTGATCCTCCTGATTGCTTCTTTATTGTGGGTTTGTGTATATTGTAAGTGGACATACGCTGGGACTGGATGACTGTCCAACGACTGTATGTGCAGGTGGCTCCATAAATTTCCACAGAAGTGACTGAAAGAAATAAATAAATTAGCTAAAAAAAATCAAGCTTTTTTTTCTGTGATAAAGCTATGGAGGTTTCTAATGCCATCACATGGCAATAATGCCGCAGTGCTTTTATGCAGAGACAAAAGCTGCAGGAAAGTGCAGCTTCTTGGTTCTAAGGTTAGAAGTTTTGCTGTGTACTGGTTGTTTTTTCAGATTTTTTTTTCCTCTGTAATCTGACACAGTTGTTGTTTTTGTTTATTTTCTTGCAGTTGATCTCCTTAAAATTGGCATTGATATTCTAGTGGGAACTCCTGGGCGGATCAATGACCACATTCAGAATAGCAAGCTGGACCTTTCCAACGTGAAGCATGTTGTTTTAGATGAAGTCGATCACATGTTAGACATGGGCTTTGCCGAGCAAGTAGAAGAAATCTTAGGATTTGCTTATAAAAAAGGTAAATGCAGATATTAGGAAAAAAATAGGGGGAAATGCAGAAAACACAGTTATACTATCCTCAAAACTGGTGGTGCTCCCTGGGTTGAATCCTTTGTGTGATGCTAGTATAAAAGCCCAGAGAAAAGGATAGGATTCAGAGCAAGGTGTCAGATGGCTGATGGGCTGGAATGACATGTTTGGAAGGAGAGAGGGGGAAAAAAGGGAGGAAGAGGGCGAAAGAGCAGGAAAAAACAAACAAACAAACAAAAAAACAAAAAACCACTATTTTTTTAGGTTTTAAGCAAAGCCCTTATGATCCTCATTCTGAAAAAGATGACTGGATTTAGGGTTAGTTGATCCTTGTACAAGTAATATTTGTACAAGTAATCTTCTAAAAAAGGAAATCTGTATAGGTTTTATAAGAGAGAGAGAATCGAATTGAGAGAATTCAATTGATTTTTTTAAATCAGACCTCAAGTTTGAGTCCGCTGTGATGTCTGAAATTGGTGGTCTTTCCTGCCAGGTTCTGAGAACAACCCTCAGACGCTGCTGTTTTCTGCAACTTGTCCGCACTGGGTGTACGATGTTGCAAAGAAATACATGAAAGGTGAATATGAACAGATCGACCTGATTGGCAAGAAGACCCAGAGGACTGCCACCACTGTGGAAGTGAGTGAGTCTGGTGCAGAGTGCTACGGTACTGAGAGCATGTGGCCTGGGTGAGATGGGTTCTGCAGTGACTTTCCGAAGTGGAAAGTGGGGGTGTGGAATGACTTTTCTCTTGATTGACACGTGAGTTTTTAAAGCAAAGATTTCACTTAGTGCCTGTAGTTGGCACTTTAAAAAATAAAGTACAAACATACTACAATTGAATTAATTATGTCTGTTTCTTTCCCAAACAGCACTTGGCTATACAGTGTCGCTCATCTCAGAGAGCAGAAGTTCTCGGGGATATCATTCAAGTCTACAGTGGGAGCCGTGGGCGAACAATCATCTTCTGTGAGACCAAAAAGGAGGCAAACGAGTTGGCTTTGAATTCTTCTCTCAAGCAGGTACTGGGGTCAATAGAAAAGCAGCAGTTACAGATACTCGGGGGTTGAACGTCTTGAAAGAAATATGAGGTTGGAACCGTGTGGATGGAGTTGTTTTTGGGTGTGTTTTTAAGATGTCTGAAATCCACGTCTAAAAGTAGAGCTGTGCATTTAAAATACGCTTGTGGCTGTTATTATGTGATTATTACTGTGGCTTTAAAATCATCCAGGACCAGATCAATGGAAAATACGCAGCTAATGCTGAACAACCAGGAAATACTGTCTCTCTTCCCAGCGGTGGGAAGGCATGTTTTGCCCAGTATTTGAAAAATGTCACATACAAAATATCTCTGGATGTTGCAGGCTACACTTCCTCTTCAAATGACATCTTAACCGTTTGTGTCATTGACAGGATGCCCAGTCATTGCATGGTGACATTCCACAGAAACAGAGGGAAGTTACCTTAAAGGGATTTAGAAACGGTGTGTTTGAAGTTCTGATTGCAACCAATGTAGCTGCCCGTGGTTTGGATATTCCTGAAGTTGACCTGGTTATACAGTGCTCACCACCAAAAGTAAGTCATTAGGGGAAAAAGAAAGTGTCTGTTTGTTTGTTTGTTTGTTTTTGTGGCAGAATAGTTGGGAGTTCCTTATTTTGCCATGTGTATTGTCTGATTCACCAATGAAGTGGATTTTTTTACATGCAGCCCTAGAATTTTCTAGTTAAGCTTTTATATTTGAGCTCTGATTAAAGTAAAAGCTAGGCTTTTCTGTTACTCCGCTAAGTCTTACAGTAGCTTTTGACATTGTTTAGGTATTTCTGAATCCTTTCTGAACACCTTTAGATGGAGTTTGTAACAATACTAAAATACTCCTGTAGCCTTTTTCTTTTGAAACTCCATTGGAGCTTTTTACTTTTAAAAATGTGTATCAATAGCATTTGTTAAACCCAAGGTATTACGCCTCCAGTGGTTAGTGTGTAGTTACAAGTTTGGGTATAGAAATGTATCATTCCTTAGGCTTCTGAATTAAAATTTAGCTTCCACTTCTCCTCTTACATTGTATAAATATCAATGGTTTAAATTACACAAGTTTTTTTCACGTTAATCTGAATTTTTGAAGGATGTTGATTCCTACATCCATCGCTCTGGACGCACAGGTCGAGCTGGCCGGACTGGGATCTGTATTTGTTTCTATCAGAGAAGAGAAGAAGACTTGCTGAAACAGGTTGAGCAGAAAGCGGTGAGTTCTGCTTTGGACTTCTTAATGAAATGATTCAGGTCCTAAGAAGACAGTGGTACTCTTGGACTTTGTAACCACGAGCTGCTGAGGGCTGCATGAGGTCAGCATGGGAGTGGGTAGGCCTAAAATGCTGATATTTGTTAAGTGTTGGTAAATGGTTTTTTATCAGCTTATTCTAATGTCTCATGAGTTTTTCCATGCTGGCAGTACTCTTGTTACTGGCAGGAGGCAGACTGTGGCCGAATACATGAATGAGGCCATGCCTTTTGTTACAATCTGCTTGTAAACTGGTGGAAAGTAGCTCCAAATTAACCAAGGCAGTGACTTCCAATCTTTATTCTAGCTTGAGCTATACCTTCTTTTAAGTAAAGACTGTTGGGGCTATAAACAACAAATGAAAGAGGTCCTAGTAATGTGACTGAGGTAGGGTTGAACCTGTGAAGTGCTGAAAATACCTTTAACTGCAATTTGTTTTCTTGATTTCAGGGGATTACGTTTAAGCGGATAGGTGTTCCCTCTGCTACAGATATAATCAAAGCGTCAAGTAATGATGCCAAAAAGTAAGTTTTTCTCTCTGTTCTTAAAAGACATCTAGAGTTCATGCCAGCAGTAATGCTGTTAGCAATTTTAAAGAACAGACATGTATGTGAGCGACTTTCCCTGTGCAGTAAAAGTCAGCTGCTTGCATGTGGACACTGACTAGTTTTCTTAAGATGATATCAGTAAACCTGTGTGCTTGAATGTCAGCCTTTTCATAGAACATAATCTGTTAAATCCTTGCTGAGATTGACCTGTGTTTAGAACATCAGTAATCTATCAAAGGCAGAACAAGAAATTACTGTCATGTGGGGAAACTGGTTTTGTCTGCTCAGATGGTATACGGTAGCAGTGTTTAAAGAGAATATTTTGTAAAATGAAGAATTCCACTACAGTAGTGAGTGTGTTGTAGCCCCATCCTGTGTTTTTCTGTCATTTTATTGCCAAGGGTTGTTATGCTTTTTATTCCATGCAGCTCTGTTTACACTTGCTGCCCAGTTGGTGGAAATTGCGTTGACAGATTTTTGTCATTAGTGAGATGATTGGCATGGTGTTGGGCTTACCTTGTACTGAAAAGCGGTGGGAAGTGCTGGTGTACCAAAAACAGCATTAGAGAAGTAACTGTTCTCAGTTTCTCAGCTTATTCTTATTCCTTCTCCCAGAACTAACCAATTTGATCAGCTTTCCCTGGGAGCAGAAGGTGCCTTGCTCCAGCCCAGCAGTGGTATTTTAGTGGCTTGTTCCCCTTGTGAAGTAAACACAAGGGATCTTCGGATCTGCTAGCAACACTTTCTGAAACTTTCCTTGCTGTTTTTATCAACGCTCTAGGTGTATAGAGGCCATTCCTCCTTTTGCAATAGACTACTTCAGACAGTCGGCTCGAGAGCTTATAGCGGAAAAAGGAGCGGTTGATGCCCTGGCAGCAGCTCTGGCCCACATTTGTGGAGCATCCTCCATACAGCAGCGCTCCTTTCTCAACTCAACTGCGGTAAATAGCATTATACCTGCATTAATAAGAGTGGATAAACAAATCACTTGAGTCCAGTGCAACTGTGGCATTTTCCCTTAAGGCTCTTTCAGTAGGGTTTCTTACAGCTGTTACCTCCTTCTGGTTTGTTTCTTGTTCCTTAACTGAACTCAGTTCTTACTTGCAGAGTAAGATGAGAGAAACTTGAGATCATTTAGTAAATTTTCATGTAATGAGACCTAAAAGAATTGCTCTAGAGATCCAAGTAACAGAAGACTTTGATACTATAAAAGAACTTAATGAAATTTCACAAGTGGATAGGTTGGTTCTTGCTGTTGTTGTTTTCCTTTCTCAGGGAGCATCTTGCATTTCTGCATATTTCAAGCAGGTCTAACATGCAATTAATTACCTGATTTCAAAGAAATCCTGGCAGGTGAAAAGTACAGTCCTTCTTTTTCCTGATGCATCCGGGGAGAACTTGGCACAGTTTATTGTGTAGTAATACAGTTTCGGAAAGAGCATATGACTGGACTGTACTTCTTGTATCATATTTTTTATTCCCTTTGCAGCTGTAACTTTATTTATTGAATAAACATCTCTGTTTCTGGCTAAAATACAGAAATGCTATTGGCTTTTCATATCAATGGGCACTCCTAGGTAAAATGTATACCTTTAGCGTAAGAGGCTTTTAGTTGCTTTACTTCTGGGAAGCTGGTCCCTTAGGATTCTCTTAGGTTCTTGCATTGTTCGTTATTGTTAGTCCAACGAAATGTATTTGCAAATGTCTTTCTCTGTTTGTTTCTTCTGAAGGGCTATGTGACCATGGTGTTGAAGTGCTCGATAGAAATGCGTTCCATGAGTTACGCCTGGAGAGGACTAAAAGAACAGCTTGGTGAAGAGATAGATGACAAAATATCTGCAATGCGCTTCCTTAAGGGGAAGATGGTAGGTTATAACCCATCCTTTGGGAAGGAGGGATGGTGGTGTGGTCCACGTGTGTGTCTGTGCATATGGCCAATTTCTACAGGGGTTGGGACAGGAGTTCTGAAGTACCAGTATAGAAATGTTCATATCTCAGTTGCATGTGCTGCCTGTCTGGAGTTTTATTGTCTTGGTTCTGTTTCTGGAAAGCAAGTGCCTATTTTTTGTTTTTGATTATTTTTTTCTCCTATAGGGGGTGTGCTTTGATATCCCTGTTAACGAACTGAATCAAATACAGGTAAGTTGTTTTTGGAACCTTCGGGGGGATAAATGAAGTTAAATGTTTGGTGATTGTCATACATCAGATTGAATATTGGGTGGTTTGGGGAGATCAGGTTTGTGATTTAATAAGAACATTGCATGGAGAGATTGCAATGAGAGAATACTCATTTCAGTGCTCATCCTATAAGCTGATTTTCATTAAACATAGTTGTATGTTTTTGGCTGCTCTGGGTTTTGATCTCTCTGGTGGAGAGTAGCAGCACTTAAAAGAGTTTTCTGTGGACTTCAGTTCTTTTTGTCCCTTGGTTGCTCTGCATGGCGGTGATTTGGGAAGGAGATGATGTGGGAAGGCTGTGGTTGATGCTTATCCCTGTGGGGCTCTGCCGAGCTGTTTTGTCATGGCTGGGTCTTGCTGGGAGGTGCTGGTGCATTTGGTGCTGCTGTTAGCCATCGGTAGAGCTTAGGGATGTGGTTTAGTGGGGACTGTTAGCATTAGGTCAGAGGTTGGACTTGATCTTGAGGTCTCTTCCAACCTAGAAATTCTGTGATTCTGTGTGATTCTGGGCACGGCATGGGGCTGGAAGGGGCCGCTGTGACGTGGGGCTGCTGTGTTTGCAGGAGCGGTGGCAGGACACCCGGCGCTGGCAGCTGGCGGTGGCGAAGGAGCTGCCCGAGCTGGAGGAGCAGCCCCAGGAGGCGAGCCGGGGACCCTCCAGGTTTGGGGACGGCGGCTTCAGGCGCAACGGCAAGTTTAACGGCGGGAGCTGGGGACGGCGCTTCAACAAGTCCTCCGTTTAACCTCTACCACAGCTACGGGACTGAGCTGGTTTTTACCAAAAAAAAATAAAAAATTAAAAAAAATATATATAATAATACTAAACGGGGCGCTCCTGCGTGTGTTTCCTGAGGGCGGTCGTGGCGCCGCCTCCTGTCAGCGCGGCGGGGCTGAGGCGGCGGCCGCCATCTTAGGGGGCGGAGGGAGGGGCCGGGGCTGAGGCGGCGCGGGGCTGACGCGGGCGGGCGGCGGGGCCGCAAGATGGCGGCGGCGGGAGAGTGGTGGGCCGAGGCCTGCGACAAGTTCCGCAGCGCCCGCACCCTGTCGGCCGTGGAGTCGCGCAAGGACCCGGAGAGCGAGCCCTACCGCTCCAAGTACAGCGCCCGGGCGCTGCTGCAGGAGGTGAAGCAGCAGCTGAGCGCCGCCGAGGAGGGAGGCGAGGCGCGGCTGCTGGCCGTGAGGCGCGCCGTGCTGGAGTACGAGCTGGGCGTCAACCACACCGACACCGAGGAGCTGTCGGCCGGCGAGGAGCACCTGCAGCGCTGCACGCAGCTCCTGCAGCCGCACCGCCTCTCCCCGGACTGCGTCTCCCTCTACATCCAGGCCCAGGTGGGCAGGGGGCCCGGAGGGGGCCCGGAGGGGGCTCTGGGTGCTGTGAGCTCGGCGGAGGGGCGCTGGGAGGGAGCTGCTCCTCTCCAGCCCCTTCGCTTCTCGCCCAAAAGAGTGGTTCCTCAGGGGTGTGGAGGTGTGCTGCTTGCTTTGGAGCATTAGCAGTGTGTTCTCTGGGTATAAACCAGGTGTTGGTAAAGCAGCCTCCTCCTTCAGACAGGGAAGCAGGGATTCATAAGGAATTCGCAAGAATTGTGAAGATTTCAGTGTGTCCAGACCTTAACTGTTACTCCTTAACCCTCACTTGCTGTCAAAGGCAAGTTGGGGGGATGCTTTTATTTATGCAGTATCCTGAAAAGGTAAATTATTTCTAAAATCACTTGCTTGTTCACTTTTCAGCATTGCCTGTTATTTCTTAATCTACTATATTTTATTCAAGACAAGTAAACACCATCTTGAGAGTCTAGAAGTAATAACATTCACTCCCTAAAACTGAAGTAGATAATACTGTTAACAAAATCTCTGTCCAACAGCAGACAGGGCTGCCATCACCTGCCACCCAGTGCAAGGTGTGCAGCCATGAGCACTGCTGCTAAATGAGCGTGCCCTCAGCTTCCCATCCCAAGCACTGTAAAAGACTTGAGTATTTAAATTAAAAACCACAAAGCCACCAAACCTGAGTATGAACACAGTAGTAGTCACCGTGGCTATAATTCTACATCAACGTGTTCTAGGGACTGCAAATTATGTTGTCACTGCACTTGTGCTGTTTGGAGGGGAGGCACATTCCTTTTTCCTGCTGGGCCTGTTCCTGTAGTCCTACCTGTAATTTCTGACCTTTTACGTAAGGATATATTTGGCGACTTTTGTCTAATTAAATTTGGTCAGTTCCACTGCTCAGCGGTGGGTAAAATGTTTCTGTTCATAAACATCATGCTACGTGGTGCTTTCTTTTAAAAATAATAAAAGGAATGGAAATGAAAGGGCCACAAGGCTGGCATACAACTATGCATAGTAGCTTTTTTGAAGGTCTTTTTTTTAATCTTATTCGATTTTGTAATAACACTGGCTAGGAATTAAATTAGCACAGTAGACATTGATCACTATTAATACCTTTGTCTTATTTTTGTAAAAGGTAGGTTCACAGCTGCAGTAACACGTTAGTTACTATGTACTTTCCTGTAATATAAATCTAAAGGTTGTAATCCATAGCTTTTACATTTTAGTAGTTCCTTTCATCTCTTCTTGTAGTCAAAATGTACAAGCATTCATTCCTAGCATTTTTTTCCCTGTTAAATTTTTCCACAAAGTTGTGATGACAAATACCTAATATGATAGCGAATGATTTAAAACATGCTTGAATCAGATGTAGAGCATTCTGTGTTGAAAAAACTTTATTTGAACACACCAGTCCTAATTTAGGAGAGCAACACAGAAAGTTACACTTTGTGAGATGATGTTTGTATGTATTTGCCCCTGTGGGAACCTTTCTCTTTGAGCAACTTGTGATAAGATGGGTTGCCTTTTGAAATGTATGATTTTAAAATACATATATGGGGATGAAGACTGATAAGTTAGTTGGATAAAATGTGTGATGTAATTGGAAAATAACTATTTTGTTCTTCCTTGTAAATGCAGAACAATCTAGGTATCCTGTGGTCTGAAAGGGATGAAATTAAAACTGCACAAACTTACCTGGAATCTGCCGAAGCCTTGTATAATCAATACATGAAAGAGGTACTGTATTTATTAATATTCTGTCAGGTCTTACTTTTGTGCATCACTTACAGTTTCATTGGTCTTGGAAAAAACATACAATGGAACTTGAGTTTCTGAGCTTCATACTCGCTGCTGTGATACTTTTGAGAAGTGGGATGGTTTGTGCTGCTAGCAGAGGAGGCTCACTTGCTAGTTTCAAATTGGGTTTACTCGGGAAAATAGTTTTGCTCAAAAAAAAAAAAAGCCCTTGATGAAAGGTCTTTGAGGTGATACTCCACATTGAAAACAAGTAGAACTTGGTTACTAATTGAGATTGTCCTAATCTTGTTTTGGGAACACTCTGAAATGTCAAACTTTCAGTCTGATAAGGGAAATAAAGTGTAATGTTTGCATGGCTTGGTCTGACCATGCACAATGTAATATTGCATAGAGGCAAGGAGTTTAGTTCATTTCAAAGAGGACAATCTTACAAACAGTTATACCCCTCTTGCATATTAAACAACCTTTTGAGTCATGGATTCTGCTGTATATCAACAAAGGCTCCCTTGTGCTATTGTTAGGTGGTTTGCAAAGCTGTTCCTACAGTGACTTGCCTCAGGGACGCAGAAGAGCTCCTGAGGGAGCTAAAAATATTTGTGAACTTAAAGGAGCAAGTATGCTGTGTTTCAGGCCAGACAGAAGTTAGATGCATTAAATTAGTTTTACATGAACGTGGTTTACAGAATAAGTTATTCTGGAAATTTTAAGATGGGTTATTCTTTATGGGTTATTTCCTGCCACAGGACTGCCTTTGTAACCATGCTAGTGTACAGTTAGAAAAGAGGTAATGGATATAGGGAGTAAAAAACAACTTGTGTTACAAAGCCTGTCTGTTTTCCACCCTCTGAATCAGTTGGTTTAACTAGAGACACCGTACCTCTCCATAGATCCTCACTCTAATTCCTGATGTTCATCAGTGATATACCCAGCCAAGTATGATGTTGTTAGCTTCCACAGCACCTCTAAAAGGTTGTGTCTTGCTCCAGTGGTTATGGTTTTGAATGGCTACTACCACATATTTCAGTGGATTAGATTCTTCTTGTATGAAGAAAATAATTACTTTGTACGTACCATAATATACATGAGGATTATGATGGAGCTTTTGGTTTAAAAAACAAAACAAAATGAAGTATTTCAGTAATAATTCACTCGTTTTCATTAATAAACTTGCATGTAGGTCGTGTCTTAGATCAAGATTTAGCATCTTCATCCTCCAAAAACATTGGCTGTTGTCTCATTTGTAAGTTTGAGTAAACAGCCTCAGCAGCTTGTGAATAAAGGGAGTGATTGCAAAGTGACAAGAGCAGCCTCTGCAGCAGGTCTGCTGAGTGCTCTGCACGTAATGTTCTCTGCGCTACTTCCTGCAGGATGTTTTCTTTTTACCGATTAATGCTGCTGGGCAAACGAATGTTTCACACTTGAAGACAAGCTTAGCATTAAACTGGCACTTTAAAAACATGATGTAAAGCCATTATGTTGTTATATAAAAAAGACACCCAATTGTAGTCCTGTAAAAATACAGGGTGAGTATTTCTGGGGCTCGTAGCGTGTGTTATTTTGAAGTATGCAGGCAGAAATATTTTACAAGCTGAACACGGTGTACTTCTGTGTGAAATTTTGGTCTTCTCCTCTTCCCCCCCAGATTTCTTGAATGATGTAGAATTGCTGCAGAAATGTGACATTCAGATAGCTGTAAATGTGTTATGTGAAGTTCTGTTGAATTTAGGATTGCAAAGTGATAAAGCAGTCTGCAGCCAGCAGAGGGAGCGCTGTGTCACAAAGTAGGAGAAATGTAGTTGACTGAATAGGTTGTGTATTCCTGCAGGATGGAAATCCTCCCCTGGATCCCAGTGAACATTTCATGTCAGAAGAAGAAAAACTCACAGACCAAGAAAGATCAAAAAGGTGGGTGCCTAGCAGCATATTCGAATTTTTGTAATTTTTATTTTCTTACTTAGGAGGGTGTATTTAGGGAGTAGAAAATGATGAAATCTAAGGAATTTCTTTTTTCAGATTTGAAAAAGCCTATACCCATACGCTGTATTATCTGGCCCAAATCTACCAACACCTAGAGATGACTGAGAAGGCTGCTCAGTATTGCCATACTACTCTGAAACGACAGCTTGAGTACTGTGGCTATTACCCCGTGGAATGGGCACTCAATGCTGCTACGCTGTCACAGTACTATCTCTCTAAGGTAATATAGTGGTTTTTCTGCTGTAATTATATCGTAAACGTGGCTAGCAAGTAAGGCTACTGTTTAAACAGCTGTTTGGAGCAGGGCTCCCTGTTAAATTAAAAGTGGCCTCTTATTAAACCATGGATTGTCTTCTGACATGACAGAGCTATTATTTTTTTCTGAAGAAGCCATAGTAGCCTTGGTTTTTTTCTGTGGCGTAGTGATGACAACAGGGAAAACGGACAGGGCTGTAGACAAGAAAAGCTCTGTAGTTAATGAGCATATCAGCAGTGATGTGACATGATGCTTGTAAGTGAAATTTACTAGGTCATAATTGCTTAATCTTAAATTGTTCCTTCTAATTATATTGTTCATAGAGTCTGAAAACAAAGGCGTCTTAGGGCTGAGGTATTGCACGTTTTATGTTCCATATAAATCATTATCCTTTGTATTTTGGCACGTGTTTAAGAACTGAGCCTATGTGAACATTAAAGCTAACTGTAAGATGATAACTGTTACTTCCACACATCTGTCTGGACTCTAAACAATCAGTTC